CTTGGAGAAATAATCGATGGCGACTATCACAAATTTTCTCCGACCGGAAAGCTGAGGGAAGGGGCCCAAGATGTCTACCCCCCACCTAGCGAAAGGAATTGCGGTCGTGACTGGCTGATAGAAGGTTGCCGGTCGTCCAGGCATCCGGGCGAACAGTTGGCACGTCTCACATTCCCGAGCTAACTTCTCACAGTCTAGCTGGAGGGACGGCCAATAGTACCCGATCAGCATGATACGACGGGCCAGGGATCGGCCTCCCTGATGTGAAGAGCAAATTCCCGAGTGCAGCTCCTTCATGACCAAATCGGCCTCAAATGCGGTCAAGCAACGCATGAGAGGGCCTCCATACGATCGCCGATAGAGACGACCGCCCAAGATTTGGAACCTCGGGGCTCTGAGCTTGGCTTTTCGAGCGCGCTGGGGGTCGTCTGGGAGTCGACCGTGCTCGAGGAATTCCTTCAGATCGATGATCCAATAGTCTTCCACCGGTTGGATTGGATTGACCGGTAGGCGATGGATACTGTGTCTCGGGATCACCAAGATCCGAGCTATCTTCGACATGTGCTCCGGGGCGTCTTGAGCCAATTTAGATAGGATATCCGCATCAGCATTATCCAATCGGGGTATGTGCCTGACGGTATACCCCCGGAACTGAGCAAGCTTCTCCATGGCCAGGTCTCGGTATAGTTGTAAACGCTCTCCATTGACCTCATAGTCTCCAAGAACCTGTCCGACCACGAGCGCAGAATCTGTTTGAGCTCGGATGTATTCAGCCCCCAAATCCCGAGCGCACTGTAAGCCATTAACAAATGCTTCGTACTCGGCTTCGTTATTGGTCGGGTGGAACTGATACATTAGAGAAAAATAGACTTTGAATCCTTCCGGGCTCGTGACCACCACTCCCCCTCCTGCTCCTTTCTTGCTACTTGACCCATCAGTAGCCAATGACCACCACTCAGCCTCGGGATCCGCAACCTCGGGAGGTCGGGTATCCCCGGCGGTGCACTCGACCAAGAAATCAGCAAGAGCCTGACCTTTGATAGCTGGTCTCGGTCGGTATTCGATCGCGTACTGGGTCAACATTAACGCCCACTTGACTAGGCGACCGGACGATGAAGCAGTTCGGAGGACTGGCCCGATCGGCTGATCGGTCAACACGCGAATTGCTCGACCTTGGAAATAGGGAGCCAACTTCTTCGCGGCAATGTATAAGGCGTAGATGACCTTCTCTAGCCGGGAGTACCGGAGCTCGGGACCATGTAGCGCGTGGCTTACATAGTACACCGGTCGCTGGACCCCTTCCGGATCGGTTCGGCACAACATTGCGCTTACTGCGCGATCAGAGACGGCGAGGTACACGTCTAGCTCTTCTCCGAGCTCGGGCTTTGAGAGCACGATCGGCGACATGAGATACTCCTTCAGCTCATCAAAAGCCACTCGGCACTCTTCGTCGCAGGCGAATCCATTAACTTTGCGCAATACCTTGAAGAAAGGTAAAGCGCGCTCGGCTAACTTGGAGGGGAACCGGCTGAGGGCTGCTAACCGACCGGTCAATTGCTGGACTTCCCGAACGGTAGAGGGTGGTTGCATGTCCAGAATCGCTTTTACTTTGGCCGGGTTGGGCTCAATTCCTCTCTTGGTCATCATATAGCCGAGGAACTTGCCGGTCTGAACCGCGAATGTGCACTTGGTTGGGTTCAGCCGCAACTGGTACTTCCTCATAATCTGGAAGCACTCCCGGAGGTCTCGAGTGTGGTCGGATCGATCCTGACTCTTGACCAGCATGTCATCAATGTAAGCTTCTATCGTTCGGCCCAATAGATCGGCAAAAAGCATATTGACCATCCTCTGGTAGGTCGCTCCTGCGTTCCGGAGGCCGAACGGCATCACTCGGAAGCAATACAGCCCGTCCGGGGTCACGAAGGCTGTCTTGCTCTCGTCTTCATGGTGCATCATGATCTGATGGTACCCCTTGAAGGCATCCATGAAGCTCATTAACTCGGCCCTGGCCGTCTCGTCGACCATCTGGTGAATGCTCGGTAGAGGATATGGGTCGAGCGGACAGGCCTTGTTGAGGTCGGTGAAATCAATGCACATCCTCCAAGCCGGGGGCTTAGGAACAAGGACGATGTTTGCCACCCACTCGGGGTACACCACCGGTCGGATGTGCTCGATCGCCGCCATCTTTTTGACTTCTTCTCTCACAAATTCGCGGCGATCGGACGACAGGTGTCGTGTTTTCTGCACGACTGGCTTGGCTGCGGGATCAACGGCCAATTTGTGACAGATGACCGATCGATCGATCCCGGGCATATCTTCGGGCCCCCACGCAAAGATATCAGCATACTCTTGGAGTATGGCCAAAACTTCTGCTCGAAGCTCGGGGGTGAGGGCTCGGCCAATCTTAATCTTCCTATCCGGTCGGTCCTCGGATAGGGGAACTTCCTCTATTTCTTCGGAAGGCTCAGGTTGTTCCTTCCGATCCTTAGCCTCCTCCTTGGCTATGGTGTTCACCCGGGAAGACGGACCGGAATCGCGTCTGTTGACCGCTCGGGTGTAACACTTCCGGGCGGATTGGACATCGCCACGGACCACACCGACCCCATTGGGGGTGAGGAATTTCATGCACAGGTGGGGCATAGAAATTATCCCACCGATCTTCATGATGGCGGGTCGGCCCAAGATAATGTTGTGGACGCAATGGAGATTGACCACAACGAATTCCAGCTCCGTTTTGATCGACTTTGGAGGTGCGCCGATCTCGACCGGGAGCGTTATTTTTCCCTCGAGGTAAATAAGAGCCCCGGTAAATCCTGACAGTGGTACACCGACTGGAGTCAGCTCCTTCCTGTCGAAGCCAAGTTTTTCAAATACGTCCAAGTATAGGACGTTCACACTGCTGCCCGTATCGACCATAACCCTCTGGACGTCCGTCCCCTGAACATCAATCGTGACCACGAGCGCCTCCATGCCGTGGTCGCTGCTGCTAGGTTGGTCTTCGAGGGTGAAGGTTATAGGTTCCATTTTCTGCCTCTTTCCGGTCTCTCGGGAATCCACTATTGCGACCGGACAATTAGTCCTCGGCCGGGATGCGTCTTCCAGCCCGCCGAAAATGACGTGTATGGTGGGCTTTCCGGATGGGCGACTGCTAGACGGAGGGTCAGGGTCCCGTCGGTCATCATGACGATCGTCCCTTCGATCGTCTCTTCGGTCCTGACCTGACCGATCAGAGCGGTGATGGGAGCGTCTATGATCCCTCCGATCGGTATTCCTCTTGTTGTCCTCTCTTTTCCCCACACACTTGTCCAACTTACCCAAGTTGAGCAAATCTTCCAACAGTTGGCGCAAGTGGGTACACTCCTCCGTGTCATGTCCGGCACATCGATGGTAAGCACAGTGTTTACTCTTGTCAGGGCCGTCTCGATCGGGATGGGGGAGTTTGATGAGATTGCAGGACTGGGCGTATTGCATGGCCTCCGCTGCAGATCGGTTCAAGGCCGTAAACTCGCCAGGCCTGGTGTGGGGACGGGGATTGTCATCTCCCGATCGATGTTCCGCCCGGCCGGCCGATTTACGGGACGAAGAGCCGACCTCCTGCAAGCGCTTGACGGCATTCGCCTCACCGGCGTTGGCGTAATCTGTGACCCTCCGAAGGGCCTCCTCATAGGTGGTCGGGGGGTGTAAGATGAAGTCTTGATACAAATACCCCGCCCGGAGAGAGATGTGAAGCATATGGGTAGCGGTCGCATCGTCCATGGGCTCGACCTCCCCGACCGCTGCCTTCCACTTGATGAGGAAGTCGGTCAAGCTTTCCCCTTCTAGCTGCTTGGCCTTCTCCAGATACATGTATGGCTTTCTCACTATTTTGGAAGTGATGAACTTCCTCACAAACTTGACTGCCAAGGTGTCAAATTTATCGATCGACCCTGGTTGTAGGGTTCGAAACCACTCTGCTGCCCGACCGGTGAGCGTAGAGTAGAAAGCCCGACACATTACGGCGTCTGAAACGCCCTTCAGCATCATGTTGCTGTAGAAATCATTCACGTGGGCTTCAGGGTCCGCCCGTCCGTCATAACTCTTCTCTCTAGAGACCTTTAAGTCGAGCGGGTAAGGCTGAGCCATTACCGCTGCTGTGAAAGGCGTCTGGTGCAAGGTCGATTGGTCGACCGGGGGTGTTGCAGGGTACGCATTCCTGAGTTGCGCAACTTCCGCCTGGAGGTTATAGAGCAATCCTCGGGTTTCGTTGAGCTCGGCGGTTTGAACGGCTTGGGCTGTGTCCCGAGCGCGTTGCCGTCGGTGTGATCTCGACCCGCTATGCCCGGATGAAGCCTCCTGGCTGGCGTCCTGCATGTGCACGTCTTCCGGCTGAGGATTTGGGTCTTGGGGTCCCAATCTTTGCCGCAGTCCCGGCCGGAGTCGATCAAAAGCTACCGCTCGGGTAACTTCTTCAGGGTCCTCCGCTCGGGCGGGGACTTCCTCTGCTTGCTGGGCCTGCCGTGGTGCCTCCATCGCGACAGCACCCCCCGACCCCAACCCCGAAGCCAAGTTTTTCAAATACGTCCAAGTATAGGACGTTCACACTGCTGCCCGTATCGACCATAACCCTCTGGACGTCCGTCCCCTGAACATCAATCGTGACCACGAGCGCCTCCATGCCGTGGTCGCTGCTGCTAGGTTGGTCTTCAAGGGTGAAGGTTATAGGTTCCATTTGGAAGAAGAAGAACGAAGAAGTAGGGAGGAGAAGGAAGAAGAAGGAAGAAGAAAGAAGAATCTGAATTGACCATTTTACCCCCCAAATATTTAATAAATTAAAGGATTGTGTTTTTCCGGCCAAAATCCACCGGTGATTTGGCCGGAAGGACTTAATGTGTAAAAAAAAGCTTACTAAAAGGACTAAATCTGTTAGTTTTAAAAGTCACGAACTGAAATTACCACCTCCACTATAATCATAGGACCAAAAGTGTAATTTTCTCTAAATAAATTACATGGTGAAAATAGAATTTACAATTAACAGTTTTTTTTTTTTTTTCAGTTTTTGTCCTTCTGCATATACATTTTTATCATCTTTCTCCCAGAAGTGTTAGACTAAACTATGGACACTTTTATCTATACCACAAACCAAACCAAACCAAAACAAAACTTGTATCACATCAAGAAAAGAGCTTCGCGATTTCGCCCCAGTAGACTTAGCACTGTTGCAGCAATGTGATTTCCCGACAGCCCTGCCACTTCGAGTTGTTCTTTTGGCGACGCCTGCTCGATGTAGTTGTCTGGTAAAGTGATCGGCCGCCACTTCAAAATAATGATTTCGGGAAATGATTGTGAAATTCGTTTTTATAAATAATATATGCATTCTGTTGTGCGAGGAAAATGAAATTACCTTGATTCCTGCATCGAGCTGTCCATCGAGGGAAATGAATTGTGCGACATGTGATCCAAAACCTCCTATAGATCCTTCCTCCACTGTAATTAGAAAAGAATGATTCTTGCATAAACTTCTAATGAGCTTAGCATCTAGGGGCTTGCAGAATCTAGCATCAGCAACAGTCACTTCAACGCCGAGCTTCGAAAGCAGAGATTGAGCTCTAAGACAGTTTTGTACCATAGAACCATAGCCGAGCAAAGCAACATCTTTACCCTCCGCGAGAATTCTCCCTCTACCCACCTGCTCAACAATCACAAACTAGTGAGAAAAAGAATTGCATAATTACGGTTGAATATTTACTCGTTCAAGAAAAAGGGTAGCAAATATTACCTCCACGGGAATTCCACCTTCACAACTATGATTTTCCATAGCAACAGCACCTCTCGGGTAGCGGAAGCATACTGGCCTGTCGTCAATACGGGCGGCGGTGGCCACCATATGAGCAAGCTCAACTTCATCAGAAGGTGCCATGACAATCATGTTTGGCAAGCACGACATAAATGTAATATCAAATGCTCCGCATTGTTTAGGGCCATCAGATCCTACTAATCCCGCACTCGTAATAACAAAGCGCACAGGAATCTTCTGGCGATCTACGTCATGGATTACCTAAACGATGCCAAAAATGTGAAGAACCTTCAATCAATTGAAACATATACTCCATCTCAACTAGCCTAGACTGGCAGTTGGATTGCACATTTATATTTATATATTATATGCTCAACACGCCCCTCACGTGCGCGGGTAGGTTATACCAAATTGAAACATGTGTTTCATCTCAACTAAAAGCCTAAGCTAGCAGTTGGATTGCACATTAATATTTATATATTATATTATATGCTCAACACAGTCAAATTTGATTTCTTCATCTATAAGAGATTCAATAACCTAAGATTAAGAAAAATTATGAAGAAAGGAGAAAGGAGGAACTTGGTCATAAGCCCTCTGAAGGAAAGCTGAAGGAACTATGCAGAATGGTTTCATCCCGCCCCTTGACAATCCCGCCGAAAATGTCACTGCATGCTGCTCAGCCATCCCAATTTCAAAGAATTTGTTTGGAAACTCTTTCTTGAATAATTCAAGTGATGGCTCCATACCCATGCCCGCATGAATTGCTACAATATCTTTGTCTCTCTTGGCCTCTACTACCAAAGCTTCGACAAAACAATCACTATACGTACGACTCCAACTCAATGATGGATCAGAATTAAATGAACCTGTTTTAAACAAATAAAAAAAATGCATTATTAAAAGAATTTTCTTTACTTTGACTTCACTGTTGCAAAAACCGGCCTAGGCAACCGCCTAGGCGCTAAGTGCCCCTAGACCACGGCGATTTCTCCCCTAGGCAGCCGGCCACCTAGGCGCCTAACTTGGCCAACTAGGCCGAGTTGGCGGCGAACTCTGCCAAATTCAGCCGAGTTAACTCATCCAATTCGGCCGAGTTAGCCGAGTTAATTCGGCCGACCCAACCTTGTTAATTTGTTTTCATTATATATATATATATATATATATATATATATATATATATATATATATATATATATATATATATATGACATACACCACACGTGCATTGTTTTTTTTAGTTAGCCACCTAGACGCTAGACGCTACTCTACCGCCCGACTAGCGCTTAGCGCCTACTGCAATAAATAAAGCATCAATTAAAGAAAATTCCCTCCAAGATCATTTGCATCAATTAATAATCTTCAGTATTAAAGCCCAAAATCATCAAATCAAAGCCCTAATATCATCAAGAACCTAAGCTAGGGCTTATAATTGTAGGCATAATTCTGAAGATTGTTGAAAGCGAAAGAGGAATCTGAGCAATAAGAGCATACTTTCTGGGGTTATATTTGAAACTTCAACCATCTGATTATCTTTTATTTCCTGCTGTTCTTTTGTTATGACATGAACCAGAACAGGACCCATGGAATCCAGTGACGCCACTTCATGCAGAACACAGATTAGGTCAGCAACGTTGTTCCCGTCAACGGGCCCAATGTAGTACAAGCCAAGCTCTTCAAAAAGAGTCGACCCAGGTGGACCAATCATACCACGTGCATACTCATCAATCTTAGCTGCCCACTCATGCATACCTTTACCAATTTTCTTAGTTAAGACCTGAAACAAACATAATATGTGGGCATACTCATAACAGAGCCAGATAATACTTATATAAGACCTCAATCGAATACAGACACATAAAATGAGCATAAGAAACAGGCCTTTTTTTTTTGGTCAGGACATGAGATGTCATGAGCAAGCCCTAAATGTAGGAGGCACCTTTAAGCCTGTACCATACTCAGACTGATCCCCATTCGCACTGGGACGGCCCAATTAAGGTTTAAGGGGCAAAGTGCTGGCCAAATTAGTTTTTCCATACGAGAGGGGTTCGAACTCCCGACCTCTCTTAAGGGACGAGAGTACACGACCACTCACGCCAACCAAGCTGGTTAAGAAACATGCCTATTTAGTTCACCACTAGGGTATTAATACAAAATTAGCAGGTGATCACTGGTCTTAGTACACTGGAAACGTGCTTTGACAATAAATTATTAATTTATTATATCATTGGTTTTAGCATTCATATAATCATTTCATCAGCATTTTCTGGAAAGTGGGCTTAGAAGTCCACGTTTCACTTTTCTAACAGCTTTAGACTTATAAAATAAAAGGACAAGCAGCATGGATACCTTAGCAAGCTCTCTAAATCTTCGAAAAAGTTTACTTGACTGAAGCTTGCTCAGAGTACTAGACAAAGCATTGATTGGCGTTTCAGGAGCCTCCTCGAGCTTTGGATGCAAAGAGTGACGATTATCGTTTAATATGACAATCATATTTGAATCTAAGTAGCCAGCATTACTCATTGCCTCATAAACTTGACCAGCCATAGTCGTTTCATTGCTAATGACTGCAACGATGCGGTCTCGCTTCCCTTTAATATCTCGAGCAACAGCCAATCCTAATGAAAAAGAAAAAATCACTCTAAAGTTCAACTAAAAATGTTGATGATAACGAAAGCACGGGAATGCTTTTTTAAGATTTTAATACAATCATAATGGGGTTGATTGTAAAAGATACTACTAAAGACATGACGAGAAATAGTTTATTTGCTGACGAAAATAAACAAGAGAATGCTATTACCAAGTCCAGCAGATATACTATTGCATCCATGTCCAGCTCCAAATGGATCAAATTCACTTTCAGAGCGGCACATGGGACTTGAAAAACTGTTTGATTGTAGATGGGAATGCATTAGAGGCATCCTTCCAGTGAGAATCTTGTGTGCATAAGTCTGTCAAGTCACAGCAAAATAAAATATACTACGCTGAAATCCAAAATTGTCCCAATTAATACGTGGAAATTTTCAAAAGCTTTCATGCTTCACGTAAAAAAAAAAAAAAAAAAAAAAAAAAAATTGAGTACTACTAACTCTGTTACAATGCAGTATTTGTTCATAACTACTGTCTCAACCTACTAAAGCACAAAGAGTCAATACTGCCTCCACTGAGGCTCGAACTCACAACCTCTCATATGCGAGAGCAAATTGGTGCCACTAGACCACAAGGTCCTTGGCTATCACACGTAAATTAGATATTCAAAAATAATTGCAAAGTGCTTGAATGGAATGTTCCATATTGCAGGGTATGGGGTAGGGCCTAACTTCCAAATTTTTTTTGTTTAAAAAGAATGGCGCTTATGAGATTCATTAGCATTTCTAGGTATTTTACAAACGGAATCTTACTTGTTCCTCCATATCCCACAATATCTTGTCCACTGGAGCATGGAAAACATGGTGAATAGCTACAGCCAACTCCACCACCCCGAGACTAGCTGTTAAAGGTTTTTCAGTATTTGACATGGCAAAGCGCAATTCTGACCGGATTTCCTCAGCTAGCTGCTTCAGTTCCTGTATGGTTCCACTCTAGGTGAGCTAAACTTCCCAAATTTGCATATTTGATGACATATATGGTGTTATGTCAGACACAACTTCAAACCAACTTTTAATGTTTCAAAGTAAAAAAGAATGACAAAAATCCAGTCACTTAACCTTCAAAGATAAATTCTTTAAGTGCATGGGATTCTCAATAGTGTCAAGTATCCTTCTTGGTGGATCATCAAACTTGAGATCAGCATCATTGGGCAAACAATACACTTTACTGTTGTCCTGCATCAGGAATGCCAAATTTCAACTTACTGTTCTTTACAACACTTCCTTTATGGCTATGAGCACAGAGAGAACTATTCTTTCACACTTTATCATGGTAAATATGGCATTATTTTGACTAATCCAAATATCAAAGAGAACTACTAAGACAAAAGCTCACAAGGGAAGAAATTATTTAGGCCCTGTTTGATAAAATAGTTAGCCTATCAGCCAATTTTGACTTATTTGATAACTATTAATTGTTTGACTTGGTTAAACAATCAATATGAGTGTTTGATTAATTAACTTATTGTAACAACTTATTGCTCCAAAATGCTGCTCAGATAGATTTTTCGTTCAGCTTTTAAGTAGCTTTCAATCAGTTTTTTTATTCGATCAGCTTTTTAAAAAAAGACAGCTAACAGCTGATTTTTCAAACACTTCTCTACAATCTCTTAATGCTATAAACTAGTCAAACTAACTAACCGAATCAACTAACAGCTATTATCAAACAATCATTTACCAAACACCCCCTTAATGTTCAAAAAGCAAACAAAAATGCAATAAAGGATAGTTATTGCATACCTTATAAGAAGATAGGACTGAAGAAGAAGTGGGGTAAAGATTCAGTCTTGAAATACCAATATTAGAAGGGAAGTTCACTGCTGGGGAATCAGAACCAGAAGACAATTTTCTGGAACCTCCATGAAAAACACCAACCGGATACTGGGCAGTAGCAGCACCCATCAAGAAATGCAGAAATGGAGAGACCTGCTTTGGTAAAAACCGGCTGACTAGTTTCAAGAAAAATTGGAAAATTGCAGGAGATTAAAGGTTGGATTTTTCGGATTGTATGAATACCCAGTTTCAAAAGTGGAATTTTGTGTCTGGGATTCCTCTAGATTTTGGTAAAAATCATGCGGAAATGCGAAGGAGCTACATGACAAGCAGAGCACTGTTTGGTATCTCGTGTAATGCTTAAGACCCGATGATGAAGCATATGGGCCAATTTGTGGGCTTTGTATGTGTTAATTGGACCTTATTTTAAGTGGACCAAGAAACGTCCTAAAGAAAAGGCCCAATAGATAACTCCTGGCAATTTATATGCATTGCATTGTGCGCCCTGATGCAAAACGACGACGTCGTTTCACATAATTGTATAAACAAATATACATAACTGTATAAACAAACCCACATAACTGTATAAAAAAATACACATAATTGTATAAACAAATACACATAATTGTAATGATTTTTTGTTTTTAATAATAGTATAGATTAGATTATTACATAACTCGAGCTGGATTAGATTCGTCTTCACTTAGGGATACAAATTTCTCTCTGGCGTGTCTAGGGTTTCGTTTTCTTCTAGGGTTTACCTAGTTTTCCATGCGTTTTCTGAGCTTTCTACGGTATTCCGACCGATTGTTCCAGTACTGATCAGCGTTCGATAGCAGTATTCGACCTAGGTAGTCCGACAGCATGGCGTCGACAAGTATGGGAGGGGAGGTGGCTGGTTTAACAGCCCGATGGGCAGACTTAGTCCTCGAGGAAGAGGAGGATACTTTCGAGCCGGTGGAAGCAGAAGTAGGGGAGGAATAGGCTGAGGAGGAGGAGACATGGGTTCTGATCGGACGTTTTCTAACAGAGAAGACGGTGAAGGTCGAATTTATGCGCCAAGTACTAGCTTCGGTGTGGCAGCCGGTCCGTGGGGTGCAGGTGACGGAGGTGCAACCGAAGTTGTTTATGTTTGTCTTCTACCATTTAACTGATATGCAGTATGTATTGGAGGAGAGTCCTTGGGCGTTTCAAAATCATACGCTTGTCTGTAAGCAGCTTCCGGCAGGGGCGATTCCGATGGAGGTAGCTCTTGATACGGTGGAGCTATGGGTACAGTGCTACGACTTGCCGTTTGGGTATACATCGGACAAAATACTCGAGCAAATCGGAAACTTCTTGGGGGTGTTTGTCAAGTTGGATGATCGGTTTCTTGATGCGCCTTGGCTCACCTATTACCGTATACGTGTTGCAATCCCTGTGAACAAGTCATTGAAGCGCAGAATGAGAATGTTGAAACGTGACAAGACGTATTGTTGGGTTAATTTCAAGTACGAAAGGTTGCATACATTTTGTTTTTATTGTGGAATGATGGGGCATTCCTATAGATTTTGTCTCAAAGTCAGGAATGCGACCGCACCGGTACAGCAATTTCCGTACAGTGATGATCTTCGGGCTAGGGGGGTACGTGGTCCAAGGGAGATATGAAACCCGTGGTCGGTGCCATTGGAGGGAAAGCCGAAGGGTGAGAAGCCAACGAGGGTGGTGAGGGGTGAGCAGAATGTGGATGACGATGGGGGTTTGAATGGGGAGCATGCGGGGCAGGGCGCTGTGCATGCAGTAGCAAAACGAAGGAGGGAGATGGATGGGGGGTGTAGGGGAGGCCGGGTGGTTGAGGGGGAGGATGTAGCGATGACAGACATCCAAAAAAACTTACAAATGGCGGGTGCTGCGATGCAGACCCGCCGGACCCAATGAGTACGTTGAGCTGGAACTGCCGTGGCTTGGGTAATCCACGGACAGTTCGCGAGATTGAGGACATGGTGTCCCGTAAGAAACCCGATTTTGTATTTCTAATGGAAACCAAGGTTAACCGAGATCATGGGGAACGACTTCGGATTAAGCTTGGATTCGATGGCCTTTTTTATGTCGATAATTCTGGTTTAAGTGGTGGTTTGGCGCTGTTATGGAGAGCAAATAATACAGCCAGATTGATAAGATATTTTGATAACCATGTGGATGTTGAAGTGAGTATGCTGGGGTTTGATAAGTGGAGGATGACAGGCTTCTATGGCTTTCTAAAGCGTCCGCAGAGGGGAAAGTCGTGGGATCTTATTCGTTCATTGGCTAACAGATCGGATCTGCCGTGGGTAATGATTGGATATTTTAATGATCTCTTATTTCAGTATGAGAAACGAGGAGGAAACCCCCATCCAGACAGCCTACTACGGGGTTTTGGGGAAACTATTGAGGATTGCGGTTTACTGCAATTGCCGATGTCAGGGTATCCGTTTACTTGGGAGAAGGGGAAGGGCACGCCAAACTGGATAGAGGAACGATTGGATAAAGTTTTGGCTACCCAAACTTGGAGGGAGTTGGTGGTCGATGCTAGTGTGCAGAATATATTGACCCGAAAGTCTGATCATTATGCTATTTTTCTTGGGGTTCTGAATCTTCAGGAAAGGAGGGGTGGTTTGAAAAGAGGGTTTCGATTTGAGATGGCATGGGTGCATGATGAGGGGTGTAGAGATGTGGTGGAAAGGTCTTGGGGCGAGGGAAGAGATAGGGGTTTGCAAGAGTGTATCACGTTTTGTGGTGATCGGTTAACACGCTGGGGTGGAGACCGTTTCCATAAATTTGGTGAGCAAATGATGAACCTACGAAAGGAACAGTTGCGCCTGAGGGGGTGTACGGACCCGGTTTCTTTAGCTGAATTTCAAAGATTAGACGAGTGCTTAACTCGTATTGAATTGCAGGAAGATGTTTATTGGAGGCAAAGGGCCAAGCAACATTGGCTCAAGGATGCGGATGCAAACACAAAGTTCTACCACATGTATGCTTCTTATCATAAGAAAAAGAATACTATTGCTAAAATTATGAATGATAGTGGGGATTGAATTGAGGAGGATGCCATGAGGAATGTTATCTTGAATTACTATCGTGATATCTTTAGCTCGAGTTCTCCTGTTGTTAATGAAGATTTCTTTAAGAGTATACAACTACGGTAACGAATGCACAGAATGAGGCGCTATTGCAGCCCTTTGAGGATAATGAGGTTAAAACCCCGTTGTTCTCGATGTATTCAGATAAAGCACCGGGGCCGGATGGGATGAATCCGGGATTTTATCAGCACTTCTGGGATGTGGTGGGTAGTGATGTGTCTTCTTATATTGTGAGTTGTCTAAACACTTGCTCGTTGCCTGCTAATTTGAATGATACGAATATTATTCTGATTCCAAAAAAGAAAAGCCCGGAGATGGTTTCTGACTATAGGCCAATTGCGTTGAGTAATGTGATTTACAGGGTTATGGCTAAGGTTATTACAGCCAAAATGAAACCACTAATGGGAAATATTATATCTGACTCCCAGAGTGCGTTTATATCTGACAGACTAATTACGGATAATATCTTGATAGCTGCGGAAGTTGGCCATTATTTGAACAGGAAGCAATGTGGGTTAACAAGATGGGGGGCTTTGAAGCTGGATATGGCAAAAGCCTACGACCGTATGGAATGGTCCTTTTTTACGTAAAATGCTTCTGGCTTTGGGGTTTGATGATAGGTGGGTGGAGTTATTGATGATGTGTGTGACCACAGTGTCTTACAGTGTACTGAGTGAATGGTTCACGAAGCAGTCAGATCACCCAGACTCGTGGTTTAAGGCAAGGTGACCCCCTTTCGCCTTATCTTTTCATTATTTGTGCTGAAGGGCTTTCATTGTTATTACAACAGGCGCAAACAAGAGGAGAAATACATGGCTGTAGGGTGGCTAGAGGGGCCCCCTCTATCTCACACATGTTCTTTGCTGATGATAGTCTACTTTTCTTTAAAGCAAATATCCAGGAAGCGGAGGTGGTTAAACGTTGTTTGACGGAGTATGAGAAAATGTCTGGGCAGATGGTTAACTATCACAAGTCAAATATTTGCTATAGTAAGAATACATGGGATGATATAAGAGAGGAGGTTGCCAGTATATTGGGGGTAGTGCAAGCCCCGAATTTTGGAAAGTATTTAGGGCTTCCATCATTTGTGGGCAGGAATAGAAAAGCAGCATTTTCATATATTGAGGACAAAATAAGACAGAGGATTGGCTCGTGGAACAAAAAGTTACTATCACATGCAGGAAAGGAGGTTTTATTGAAAAGTGTGGCTCAATCTATGCCTACCTTTTCAATGAGTGTCTTTTTACTGCCTATGACTCTGTGCACAGCCATTGAGCGAACCATGAACCGGTATTGGTGGAGATCAAAGGATGACTAGGGCATCCATTGGAAGGCATGGGATAAACTGTGTATTCCCAAGAAATATGGATGTTTGGATTTTAAGGAGTTGCGTGCCTTTAATCTTGCTATGTTGGGTAAGCAAGCGTGGCGTTTTCTTACACAACCACAATCTTTGGTTTCAAGAGTTTACAGGTCCAGGTATTATCTCAAAGGTTCTTTCTTTGATGCATGCTTGGGGAATAACCCAAGCTTTTGTTGGCGTAGTATTCTGGCGGCACAGGAATTGGTTTGTGGGGGTGTTAGGCGCAGGATTGGGAATGGTAAATCAACTCTAATATGGGATCAGCCATGGCTACATGATGACCAATAACCCGAGAATAATAACAGAAAGACCACCCCAACTGGCACAGGCAATGGTCATGGGACTCATGGACCAACAAACGGGAACTTGGGATGAGGATATTCTCACAGATATTTTCATACCTGAGGGTGTGACACGAATATTAAAAGTACCTGTGTCACTAGATTATGAAGACTTGTGGTATTGGTATGGGGACCCAAGGGGAGAGTATTCAGTCAAGAGTGGTTACAGAAGAATAGTTGGTGACTACACCTACCCAGTAGGTGTCTTTGATAAATGGTTAAAATTATGGAAGCTCAAAATCACCCAAAGTGAAAACATTTTTATGGAGGACTTTGAATGGTATATTGCACACTACGAAGAACCTACTTATAAAGAGAGTTGATATTGATCCAACTTGTGCTATGTGTGGGATCATGCATGAAGATATTATGCATTCTTTAATCACATGTGACTATACGGCCAACATTTGGGCTCAACCTCACCTTCCAATCCCCAATAATGTCACGAATATTTTCAGTGATTGGTTTGATGATTTGTTGAATATTTTAGATGATGATGAGATTGTTTATGCAGTGGCACTTCTATATTATATTTGGCGTGCAAGAAATGGGGTTGTATGGGATGCATACTTACCCAGGCCTCGGAAGATAATTACAATGGCAACCTCGGCTGTACACGCATGGAAACTTGTCCATCCTGGTCGGACACGTACGGCACCACGGCTGTTGGGACGGCTGCTGGACGAAGCACTGCTACGGTGCAATCTGTAGAGCACGAAGCTGCTGCTGCTGCCTTAGTAAATCATCCGCAACTGCCCACTGCCGTGCCACAACATCCGCAGCCAGCCGCACCAATCGCTGCACTCCACGCTGCTCAACTGCCCACGCGAGATCAATGCTACTTCGATGCAGCATACTCCCATCAAACAAACAAAGCGGGGGTGGGGACAATTCTCCTCAACGGACAGAGAGGTTATATTTCAGCTATGTCGGCACCAATAATAGACTGTTTTTCACCGCTCATGGCGGAAGCTTTTGCATGCAAGGAGGTTTTGTCCTGGTTAAGGAACCGTGGGGTAAGGTCTATCGAGCTCTTCACGGATTGTTTAGTACTACAACAATATCTATCGTCTATGACAGGCTCGCCACGCTCATACCTGGGTTATGCTATTGATAGTTGCAAGACCAGTATGTTATCTTTTGATTATTGTTCGCTTCGTTATGTTTCTAGAGTGGATAATTATTTAGCTCATACCTTAGCATCTACTGTTTTTACTCAGTTAGCTATTATGTATTCGGACTCTGGTCCACCAGACTCTATTTCAGCATATTTTGAATAAATGTCCTACAGGCTCCTTTAATTTCAAAAAAAAAAAAATACACATAATTGTATAAACAAATACACATAATCACATCAACTCCCTATCGCGCCTCCCAAAACGACGTCGTTTTGGGAGGCGCGAGGCGGACAGTGCAATGTGCGCCGTGGACCGTGGTGCAGGGTATAACGATTGATAACTCCTGACAAAGTATGTAAATCAATATTTTTATAGAGTTAATACTATTAGAGGTTCCTTGTCTTTGGTGGTAATTCTAATTTAGTTCTAAATTATCGTTTTTTTCATTTATCATTTTAAATTATTATTTTTTGAACACTTTCTCATGATTTTTCCTACTTTTAGTAAGGGCATTTTTTGTTTCTTCATATTTTTTGTTTTTGTTATTTTTTCAGTTTCAACCGGCCGGTTTAATTTTTTTAGACTTTTACTAAAAATGTGTTTAAATATATAGTTACTAACAATCGGAGATTGCCTAAAGTTCTAAACCAATTAAATCGAAAAAATATTTGCATTGAGATAACACCTGTGTAAAACTATCTCACGGGTCTCAATCCATGAGACCGATCGAATCTTTGATTAATAGGTCGGATCTTTTACCCCATTAATCAAAGATCCAACCCGTCTCACGGATTGAAACCCGTGAGACGATCTCACACAAATTTTCTTTTGCATTGTTATGTTTTTTGCATTATATTGTGAACTTCTATAACATAATTTGTCAGTTGTGAGTTCTTTTGCTAATGCATATCACCATCTTGTAACGTTTTTGTAGTTGTATCCCCTCTCAAGTCTCACAATTAGTGATTGCAGCATCTTTTTGCAGTCGAGTCTATTTTAGTGTCTAAATCCTACCTCTGAAGGTCAACATATATAAACATCATTTTGTTGGAGAGTAATGTTGTATGAGATTCATTTGTGCTGGCTTTTTGCTTTCTTTCTATTCACTTTAATGTTCTATAGTAATTAGTACCTATGATTTTAAAGGTTCTAGTAACTTATTTGCCTTTAGTTTCTTTTGTTGAATGGTTTATTATTCAATAATTCTTAAATTTGTACCTTATTTATGCAATGTTTTACATATCGATCGAGCATATAACCATCAATGTATACTAATTAATTATCAGCTTAAATTTTTAATTGAGATAAAACACATGCTTTTCATTAACGTATAATTTAACTATCAGCTTAAACTTTTAGTTGAGATGAAACACATACTTTCTATTAATGTGCAATCTAAAACACATGCTTTAATTGTACGAGTCTATGCATTTATAATAATAAAGTGTAGATTGATTCATATATTGTATTAATATGAAATAGAAAAAATGACTGCGAAATTTAAATTTCTACTTTATTTCCACATCTACAAATTAGAATTCTTTTTCTCTAATTTCATCCTCCCAACCAAAGGATCCGTAAGTTTTTAATTTGTCTGCGTTTTAATTTACAGTTCACTTTGTTACTTTGTTTGTTTGGCCGATCGAGCGGTGTGTAGCGTTGGCGCTGGTCGTAAAACCAAGAAATAATAGAAGCCATACAAGAGAATTAAATATATATATATATATATATATATATATATATATATATATATATATATATATATATATATATATATAGATGGATCATGACATAAATTTATTCATGACAACTTAGATTCTCCCATGCATGATCCGGAAGATTATAAACATATACATAATTATATATATTATTGTTGTCACAAACATATACATAATAATTATATATATTATTATTGTTGTCTTTTCTATGCAACTTCATATATTATTCCAGATATGGTTGAATTATATTGATGCTCTACAGATTGGGTTCCTTGGATGGTGGCTTCACTATGAGAATGGGGCAATGCACATGATGTGCACAATAGTCGCTCACACTTCCTAGAAATGCCCTGCATTATCATAATATATATATACTCCGTACTCATCAAATAAACATCCTTTTAATTATAACCGGCCAAATTAAAATTGATCGAGACTAAGGGAAACAAATTAAATTAAAGAATTACCTTTTGATTTTGCCAAGGCCTCGACTGCCCACGACAAGAAGATCAACATGCATCTCCTCAGCAGCCTCACAAATTCTATCCTTTGCGTCCCCTTCAAGAATCAACGTTTCTGCCCTCACCTACAACCCCCAAAACCACAACCTTAAACAATATATATAATAATTTAAGGATGTTCAACCCATCTTAATTAATTAACTGAACCAAGAAGGTCAATAAGCTTTTGAATTGTAACTATCAAATTAACAGTCTGAATAACTTGATTGTATACCTTATTTTCCCTGCAGATTTGCAAGGCCCTAGAAAGTACTTCACTCGCGTTATGTTCTTGGCTTTTCTTCACAGCTTCCACCATCATAGGCGTTAGTTCCACTGCTATATAATGAATACATGAAAAGATTTATGAACCAATTAAGAATTAATATACTCAACTTTTTGCAAGTAAATGTTAAATTCTGATCTGTGTGTTAATTTTAGCTTACGGTTTGGGCCAGGAGGATAAATGATTGGCCCGAAAGTAGGCTGGACATTAACCAATGTAACCATCGCGGCCGGGATCTCGTCGGCGGCGGTGGCGGCAGAAGGGTAGTTCCGGCGGAGCAAATTGTCGATGGCCCATTTAAGAGCATTGAAACTCTCGCCGCTGTCGTCGATGGCCACCATCACCTTCCACGTCGTCCTCGTCGCCGTCGTCTCCTTCACCGTCGGCACCTGAGAATGCATGGCTTCTCCGGGACACGCATATGCACTAGTCTCAGTTCTTGTTGTTTTCTCCATTATTTCTTCTTCCCCAGCTCGCTACGTTAATAATTTCAGTACATTTATCATATATATTTTTTTAATTATTTATACATAAGTTCATTATATAAAATATGCCATAAATCTTAGAAGAGCTACGTAACCCAGAAAGAAATTGAAGGTGGCAGAATCATAGCGTGAAGAACCACATTGTGACAAGTGGTGAACATGCAAAACCTTAAATTAACATGCAAAATACGACGTCGCAGGAAACCATGACACGTAGCTTCTTGGTTCTTATCCATTTCCAAAGTCTGATATAGATGTAATTTTTGTAAGATTTTCCTAATAATATATATTATATATTATATATTAGGGCCTTAATTAAGTGGTGCAAGTGCTTATTAAGTGATTTGGTTGGACTTAATAACTAGTAGTTGTTAGTCAATCAAACTCTGTGCCTAATATAATTCTGGATTGATGGGATACAGGATGATTGATGTTAACACATTCAGTTACGATACTCAGACTGCTGAGTCAGATTTGAAACAAAACATGCCTGACGGTCTAGCTACACAACAAGAACATCAACTAAGGCGAAATCTAGACCAAGACCAAATCTGTTCACACAGATTTATAAAAAGAGTGGACCGTCTATATTTAAACTTTTTTTTGAAAGGAGTGTATATATAAACTTAATTTAAAACACATCAGAGAAACAGATGCATATTATTACTTGAATTGGATTATATTATATTGTTGCATAAAAGGGAAAAGGGGTACAAAAATGAGAGCGTTGGTGGGAATAGACGACAGCGAGGAGAGTTTCCATGCACTCAACTGGATTCTCCACAAGTTCTTCTGGAAATCCGATGACCCGGCGGCGGCGATGGACGGGTCGGATCTTGTCGGGGACTTGGTCACCTTAGTCCACGTCATGGAGCCTTGGCCTCACAATTCCGTTCTAGGAGGACCTGGTTCATTTCGTTTCTTCAACCACTAAATTTCAGTTAAATTAATAGATTTAAAATATATAGTTAAAAATGTGAGATTTAATTTATTCTTGATCTGGGTATATTGCATATTTGCATGTATATATGCTTTGAACTCCGGCCGGCCATCGATCTGCAGCTGCGGAATCCGTAAGCAGGACACAAGAACAAGAAGCAGCCAGGATACTTGCACGTGCCGGTGAAATGTGCAGGGACAAAATGGTGAGCTACCTTATTAACATGCCTTTTTTTTTTTTTTTTCTTTCTGACGAGCGAAACTTATAGTTATTATTTAAGGGTGTGTATTGAATAAATCTGTCTCTTGAAAAATACAAAAAGTAAGTCTTTCATCCCTACTTGAAGATGTATACTAAATAAATTCTGTCCCTTAATCTTCAAAAAAGAACCACAAGAAGTTATGGTAAGTCCTTCTAAAAAGATAAATTAAGTCAATCTAAGTTATTTATTGCTGACATTTTTAAGCTAAGAAGTCTAATAGTAACTCTTGTTGAAATCGAACTGATTAAAGTCAAAAAATAATAATAATTTGACCAATTTGGTTGAAATCAGATGTCCTTATTAACGTGGCTAATAGGCCGGCCAATTTTGTTGAAGCCGGACTTATAATTTTTTAGTTACAAAGATAACAATCTGACCAACTTAATTAATTGGGATGATGTTTCTTTTCTTGATTGATTTTTTTCATGAATATTAAGTTAACATGCAAAGAGTAAGTATACTATGTAATTATGTATGTATATCTGTCGTAGGTGAAAGCTAAAACCTTAATTGTGGAAGGAGATCCCAAGAATGTGATTTGTCAAATGACAGAGGAAATGGGTGTTGATCTTGTCGTTGTGGGTAGTCGAGGACTTGGCCAAATCAAAAGGTATATATTAACTTCAATATAGTCAATATATAGTTTTACACCAAATTAGAAATTGGAATGATACAAATATACTAAATTTGATAAGAGTTAATTACCGAAATGGTCCCTTGACTATAGTAAAATTACCAATTTGATCCTCGACAATTTTTTTTACCCAATTAAGTCCTCGATTTTAAAAATGTTAACCATTTTGGTCCTCTCTTAGGTCAAGGGTTAACAGTCCGTTAAATTAGAGGTTATTCATGGAATTTCACTCCCTTACGGGTAGCCTGGACTCCATTAACGGCAAAACATACAGCTGCCATCCATTAAAGGCAAAACATATAGATCGCCTTCCTCCGCTTCACAAGCACAGCTTTTGTCGCTAGGCCATACTCCATCGCCGTTCCCTCAAATCTTAAACCCCTCATGCTAACACAGTGTATCTGGCATCAATTTGCTCTGGAGCTGGAGCAGCTACGGCTATGGCGAAGCAGAAACGACTGTGATTTCTCTTCACCCGTAGCAGAGGAAGACGCATTCCCCGTATTGGAGCAGTCGGATGGAGGCATGGCCGAGGATGGTGTCGGAGATGTCGACGGTGTTCGGATCGAGGGTGTACGAACGGTACAGATAAGATCTGACGTTGCTGGAGGCGGCGTTGATGAACGACGACGTGTTCGCTAGCCTGGTGAAGGAGTCCACGACGGCGCTGCAATCCCTTCACCGCCTGGGAAGTCAAGACTCGCCTAATCCAAGCTTTGGTCTCTAAAGAGGCCGCCGCTAAATAGACTCAAACCTTCGCCGCTAAACAGACTCAAAGCTACCCATTTCCATTGGATTTAGAATTAAACTACTAAATGCCTCCATTTCTTCTAGTGTCACTTGCAGGGGCAAAAGTAGTTGGTACAAGCCTAGTCTTGAGTGTGGGGTGTTGGTGAGAAGATGAAGATAGTGGCATACCTCATCATTATTATGCTTCACATTATATTTCCGTTTTCTTTCATCCTCTACTTGTTCAAAATAACATACACCACCGTACCTGAGAGAACCTAATTAGCTTGCTTGATGTGAAAAGGTCATTGAGAAATCATATTGTGCAGGGAGTGTGGTTGTGATTTGTGAAATGTGAAACTACAGACATGCTAACAAAGTGTAAAACGAAAGGAGAATGAGCAATTTTGTGTTTCTGTGATGCATTTGTGTATCTCTGGGAGAAGGACAAGGATTATAGGAGTGAAATTCCATGAATAACCTTTAATTTAATAGACTGTTAACACCTTATCTAACGGAGGACCAAAATGGTTAACATTTTCAAAGTCGAGGACTAAATTGGGTAAAAAAAATAACCGAGGATCAAATTGGTAATTTTGATATAGTCAAAGGACCATTTCGATAATTAACTCATTTGATAATATTTGCAGAGCTCTTCTGGGAAGTGTAAGCGACTACTGCGTGCACCATGCAAAGGTGTCCAGTTCTTATTGTGAAGCCAACCACCTAAGAAGTCTCATGGATAGGTTGTAACTGTACTACCAAATACACAATTAAGTGTAGTATTATAATAATTACGTACATGTTTCAATGTAACATTAGGCAAACTCAATAATTGCATGGAACATTGCACCATATATGCTCATGGTAAAGTACACTTAATCGATGCATTATTCTTCCAAAAGGCTGAACCCCAATCCTAAGGGCCCCTCACACTTCGACCCGACAGAGCATTTGGAAGGATGTAAATCATGGTAATTCAACTGAACATGAACCACAGATGCTAGACCTGCGCTCAATCAATGCATTGATTTTCTGGCCTTAAAGCCCCACAAGCTACATTAAAATGATAGTGAAAATGAGTAAATTATGATGACTCAACGGTTCATTATGTGAGATTACCAATATTTAATTGGTGCTTGTTGGTCCCGATAGATTGTATGGTGAGTCTAGAGGGGGGGGGGGGGGTGAATAGACTCTCGTTTTTCTTTAAATTCTTTAACAGAAAAACCTTGACAACACTTTTGAATAGGATAAGCACAGCGGAAAGATTATTAAGAGAGGGTTGCACGAGTTTGATTAGAAGATGAGATAAGTGATGAAAAGGATGATATGCAAGCAGTAAACTAAAGCAGTAAGTAAAGAGAGGAGTGAGACGAGATTTTATAGTGGTTCGGCCAAACTTTGCCTACTTCCACTCTTCTTCCACAACTGCTGGAAGGATTGCACTATCACTTCTTTAGTACAAAAACACAAAGACTTTCTTGATCACTAAGCCGGACAGCCTTTGAAGGTTTTTCAACTCCGAGAGTTTACTCCGCCTCTATCAACTTCTTCTTCTAAGTTGAGGTTGGTGAGAAAGTATTTCTTGATTCCTCCAACTGTGAAGTCTTATAGGTGTGGGATGATTGCTTCAAATGTGCAAGACTTCTTACAAGATGTAGGGCAGTGATGGATGATCTACTTCAAATGCCTTAACACCTTAACTAGCTGGTTCACAAAAAGCTTTGAGATTTGTTCACTTTTAAGAGCTTTTTGCAAGAGAGTGAGTAGAGATAAAATGAACCAGCACCTTCTTAGTTGATGAAGGTTGGTTTATATAGGTGATGAAAATTCATCCGTTGGAGGGAAATGAATTTTTAAACCTTTTATCTGTTGGACAAGGACCATGGAGCCTCATGCATTTAATGCTTCATTAATGGGTTTGTACTATGTAGCCGTTGAAGGTATGGAGGATCTGATGACTTTTGTCTTTTAGCTCCAGAGATAGTACAACTTCATTAAATGCTCTTCGGGTAGCGTGTCCCATGAGTTGAGGTCCTTATTGTCCTAGGATGTTGTCACATCAGACAGGTAGAACATTCTTCTTGTTGATGAGAAGAAGAATACTTGTTGAAAAGAACTGTCTTCTTAATGACAACTCCTTCTTTCGTTGCTGTGGAGTCTTCTTTCGTCTTGATCAGCCTATCTTCTATTCATAACTCCTTTCGTGTGTTTGTTCTAGCTTAACACGAATTACATATGAGTTATGGCAACTTTCGTCTAGAACGAAAGTAGCGATACAATAAAAACGAAAGAGTTAGGGGTCTACTTTCTACATTACATTGGTATCATCAAAATCCTAATACATGGTTCCTAACAATTTCCCCCTTTTTGATGATGCCAAAACCTATACTCTTCTTATAAGGCTGAGAAAGTGCTCCTTAAGGATAATTCTATTAAAAACACAGCCATTATCGAGAGTTTA